GTCCGGTTGGTAAACTAATGAAGGCGAGTGAGTGATTGGTTATTTTAACTAAATTTAGAAGCTCTTTAGTAAACTATTAATATTTCCTATAGATCGACAGGTAACTGGACACTAAGTGGCCATGTTGACCTGCTGCTGACGGTTTGTTGGGGTTCCAGCTGGCACTTGCTTCTGGTGGCGCCCAGGGAATGGCATAGGTCGCAAGGTTAAGATGGTATGAAAGACGCTGATAAATTTTATCGAGGTCGATAAATTGAAATTCATCTATACCCTTTTTGATGCTAGTATCACTTTGAATACTCAAGTGTAACATGAGCTGGCACGTCCCGTTACTGACATATATATATTGTGACGTGGTATATTTTTGCCACCCCACGGCGGCCCCAAATTTCGGCCAATATTTTTTTTTTGCATTCTTTAGTTGCAGGGTCCGAGGTCCGACGGTCACCGACCCGAGGGAGAGGGAAAGCATGCCTAATTAATAACCAATTTAGGTTTAGTATTTTGTTGCAGCCTAATTTAGCGATCCGCGGGAACTCTTCCCAATTTCCTGTAAGGGGTCATCCATTCGTTTTTTTGAGTTCCCAGGGGTACTCTCGAGCACTCGCAAATATTCGGAATGAATACTTGGCGAGATGATCGAGGGCTCGCCAAATTTCTGTATCGCGTAGCGAGGCTCCGGTCGCTAGGCCGGAGTGTCAACATCGGCGACCTCTCGGAGGTCGCGCTCGCGCGCGCGCTACCGCTCGTCGCCCTGACCGGGAAGAAAGAAGCCGTCGAGGAAGCCTCGGCGGCCAAGAGCATCAGGACCGAGCTCATCAGCCTCTCGCCAATTGTTTCTTTACAGGTATGCAATTTACTCTTTACCTACGACGGAGTCGGACGTAGAGATATACCATCTGTACGAATAGCCCAGCTGCGGAGTGATAATATTTTATATAATCACGATTTTCATTTGTTGCTTTGAATACATGGGAATTAAGGGGGCCACTACAGTGACGCTTCATAACTAAAGGCTTCAGAAAATATGTATCAAAGGCGCGTTAAAGAGTAATGTTGTTGAGTTAATTAAGACAATTATTTTATTTACATCATTTTTGATATACTTTTATTAAATTCAAATTATTTTTACGTATTTGCCCGGAAAACTATTGTTATTAGGTGAACTATTATATATGAGCCGTATATTTTGAAAGTGGCGTAAGTCCATTTTTCAAAAGATATCGAGTTAGCTACCTTTATAGTTACATTTTTACATAATCTTTTCATTCCGAAGCAACTTGTTACTAATATATTTAAAATCATTAAGATTTTGTAACACGAAAATTTGCTGGGTTAATGAAGTGATGAAAAAGTTTATTTTGAAAGTGGCGTAAGTCCCATTGTGAGAGCATCAAATAGATATGGAAAATATGCAATAAAATTATGAGATCACAGCTTTATGTTTAATTATCGAAATAGCAGTTGAATTATCAATGTGCAATGAATTTGTTATAAACAATTTAATTTCAAATTTCACTTTCGATCCGCTAACGGATTCATACAGGTCTCCGGATATGCCATTGTAATTTTCAGCAATTTGTTAATAATTTGTTTATAACAAATTAAATTGCAAAAAACTATAAGAATATTGAATATATTAAAATATCCCAAGAGAAAACTTGTAAATCTTCGAGTATGAATTTCAATGTAAAAATAAAAACTGACAGTGAAAAAGTAAATTGGTTCAAAATATGTTAGATGAGATTTTTGAGAAGCGATCCACATAAGTTATTCTACAAAACGACAACTAACGAGGATGCACCATTCAAAACATTGGATTTATCACCGCAACGGGGAAGACCGAAAAACTTTAATAATATCAAGTTGGCACCACTCTACAAAAAAACTCAGAAACCACTCACAAACCTAAAATACAAGGACTTAATGAATTTATACACTATATAACACCTGCACATCATAGTTATTTTAAATCCCCCCCGCATACCCAAACTGGAGAAGACTGAATAATAATTAATAAAACAATATCAATTTTAACGTAAAAATTATTTAACAAAGAATATGAGTTGAATATTTTTTTGATTTTATAACATAAAAGTGTATACATTTATTTTTATTTCAAGGAAAATTTACTTTTCCTATGGATTTGTGCTTTCTTAAGAATCGAAAACGTCATTTCATTGACTTTGAAAGTGGCGTAAGTCCATTTATAGCCATCAAAAATATATTATTTCTTAAATAATATTAATTATACTAATTGGGATAATAAATTTGACACCATTAGAAACCTAAGCATATTATTCTACTATGTTATCTGTTACCCATATTTTTATATTTAATTCAACGCAAACCCTTCGATATCTTGATTCAAACATAAATAAGCGTTTGTCGCCTCTCCTCCCACTTAACACCAAACCTAAAAGTTACGTAACTTAAAACTAACAAATAACATAACGTTTGTTACAATGTAAAAACCAAACATTTACGTAACTTAAAACTAACAAATAACATAACGTTTGTTACAATGTAATAACCTAACAGTTACGTAGCATAGAGCTAACTAGTTACATGACATTTGTTACAATGCAGTAACTTAACAGTTATGTAACATGGAGGTAACAGGTTACATAACATTTGTTACTGTCCTGATATTACTGTATATATGCAGCACATATTTGTAACGAAATAGAACTGTATTGTTGGCTGTCACCTATTTTATTACATCGTCGTCATCATCATTGTCATAATTCATCGTCAAATGTCATAAGATTAATATATGTCATATTTTGTTTACTACTCGTATGAACAAATGTCACTTTAATTCATACGCGCATATACATTATCAGTCGTTGTTTGCTAGTCGAATGAAATCATAATAGTCTCTAAGTAAAATCAGATAGTTTATCATTACATAATTTCATTGAAAGTCCGATCTGTCATTTAATAACTAACTATTGCCAAGTACCAAAAAATAATAAAAAATAAAAAATTATATAATTTTGGATAAAATTGCGTGATTTTTTTAATTAAATGTATGAAAAATTAACATTATTTTAAGGTAATATTAAGGTGAAATTATAACATTAATATAACATGTTACAAAACACGTTATCTTACTGAGTGGGAAATAATATCTAACATCTAACTTCCATGTTACTTTTATGCTGCATAACATGTTAGTTTCGAAAACGTAACATTTACCCAACAGTTATATAACAGTGTTCACTGGGCTCGTCCCGCGCTTCTGTCCTGGCAGGGTGCGAGAGAGAAATTCCAAGATTGGAGATTGGGACCAGAAGGGAAACTACCCATAGTCCGGGTAACGATGGGTTTGATAGGCTTGTTACCGTGAATGACCGAAATTGGAGAATGTCGACTTTCACCGGTGAATATCAACACATACCAAATACGTCGGTGAAAGATCGAATATTTCATTACATTGTTGTACATTCGGACCCTCTCCAGTGTGTGTCGACAATCACACACCGGTGAATGTCAACATTTACCGGTGTAAGTCAGAAATAAGGGTATTCAGCAAATATTTCGGACATACACGAAGCGACTATGTGAATGTTGACATTCACCGGTGAAAGTCGACATTATTCAGATTTCGGTGTTTCACTGTAACAGGCTCACTCGCTCAAATCCCGCTCCTCCTCACTCGAAAAACATTAGTGAGAGGCAACGAGTATTGCAAGAGTGAGAAACATTTAGAAATAAGATTCACCTATTCTATCTTCTAAACTATAATTGAATTAGGAATACAAATCTGACAGTATTTTAGTATTTTTCTATTTTAAACGGTGTAGTATGCATTCAACATTGCATTGAAAATAATTTACTAACATAAATGAAATATATTGTTAAATAATTGAGAAGGTATAACTTAAAAGTAAAGTTTTACTTGTAAATAATTTTACTGCCATTCAAAACGATGTGTAGTAAGAAAAATAAAGCGGAATTTGTAAATTGAAAAACAGTTTTGAAAATTGTTAAGATGCATTTTTACTAGTGAACCGTTTGAAATATTTTTAAAATTTTAAAAATAGGTACATACACGCATCATTGATACAATGTTGTACTTCAGAAGAAAGTTTCCAAACAATATAAGCATCCTAATTTTTTAAACGCCTTTTAAACTCTAACATCCGATTATTAGATTATTAGAAAATTGAATATCAGCAAAATAAGCACTTCATCGTAAGAGTACTGCTACATTCAAATTGTTTATTTTTTAATACCCACTAATTTTAAGAAAAGCGTACAGTAAGACGCATTACCAATAATATAATGTTAATATTATGTAACCACTTCTTTATTAAATAAAAATATTAACTTTATATCATTAAAAAAAATCTAGGACTCGTTGCATGTTTAACTTACGTACAAACAATACATCATTATTTTTATCAAAATATTTATCCTATATTTTCTATATATTTAACGAATATCGTACATTTTGCAAATATTTACCAGACATTTGAAATATTTGCAAAACGTTTACTTTAGAATATTATCTCTATAATATTTATATAATATTACCTCCACGTGTTTTCATAACATTTCTATACCAGACATACAAAACATTTCGTTTCGTTTTAATACAAGTATTTTTTAAAAATTATCTGCCGAATACATTATAAACGTTTTAAAAATATTTCAAATCAAAATCACACGTTTTGTTCCCATAATGAAATAGCGGAACGAAAATATTACAAAAACTCGTGTTTTTTGATACCAAATGACGTGTCCGATAATAGTCCTGAAGTAAGAAATGTATTTTTATTATGTTAGTAAGTTAAAAAATATAATTTCTCTATACGTTTATAAATGATTGAAACTAAATATGTCATTGAGATTTTCAACAAATATTTCATACATCTTCGAATGAAATCTACAAGAAATCTTAAAAAATCTGTCGCTTGAGATATTTAGCAAAGATTACAAAGAAATTATTCTATGCTACTAGGGAATCGTACAATTGTTACACGATAACTCACCTGAAATCTGTACTCGCCGACAGGTGGTTGCGCGTACCTAAGACCTTGGAAAGCACAAACACTGCTGACCGTCTCATCCTGTAATCCCTGACCATCTTTTGCTTCCGAACATGATCCAATAACAGATCCCGAGGGAGTTTCTACTTGAACCGGCGTCGCCGAAGGTTGTTCTTCCGTTGCTTTAGCAACGGCACACAATAACAAAGTCAATAATGCTGCACTCATTTCTGCAGACAGAGATACTGCGGTATATTTGGTTGTTTATAATTTTCGTATCCCGAAGTTGAGTCAAGTAGTTTCGGTAAGTACTAGCCCGTTGGTTCTACGCGCGGCTGCATATATTGAAAGAACGAAGGACGAAGTTGCAGAAACGCATTTTCTTTCCAAGAACAATAGATGCAAATCTGACGCAAATGCACCAGAGATTGCCGAAGTTGTTGGAAGTTAATTCAGAGATATATGCATTTGAAAATATTCGCAACTAAATGGAATAAATGAGGTATATCGCGGGTCCAACCATGTCCGTTTTCAACGTTCTAAATTTGCAGTGTACTTAAAAAAATAATTAAATGTTCAAAAATGTCGATTATAATTGCAAGACTAGACAACAAAATATTGTACATTTAAGAGATCTTTCTCGTGCAGTTCACTTGCATTATATTTATAGTCCCTGATTTTGAAATCTTCTTTCGAACATTGCGTTGTTCTCCATCCAATTTGATTAATTACTGATGTCTGATTGATTTCAATTTCGAGGAAAATTATTAGATATCATTAATTATTCTTTCATGAAATGCCTTTACGCATTCTGTACTGCTTGTTTTAGGGCATAGTTATTTTTATTTTTATTCAATATGCTTATAAATAGTGTCTTATTCGAGTCAACTAATTTGAGGGGGGTTTGACTTCACCTTAAATATTGTCAACTCTCATGGAAAGCATGTTATTTATACTACTTCCAAATACAACATTATTATTAGTATAATGGTTTACGATTGCGATTTGGTTGTCACCTTCCAATCTGTACTGAATATTACTAAAAACTTTGCTCAAATTAGTATCGACAATACCGATAGATGGCGAGACTGTCTCGCAAATGATACGGATTGCTCGTTCGTATGTAAGATACTACTTTATCGTTAATTAACGCGAAGGCATGCAAGAATACAGACAGATCAAACATAATAAGTTCAATAAATGTTTCATAATCACCAAGTAAATTATTTTTAGAAATTGATTTATTGATTAACAAAACTATTCACAGCAGTGAAAAATATTATCTGGGCATGTAACATTTATGAATCCATTTATGTTGACAATAACGAAATGAAACTTTACCATATAAATAGTAACATTTTTCGTTATTCTTACTAGAAAAGTGTAGTAAACGTAAAACAGTTCATTTTACTACTTCCAAATAGTAAAAAAATATAGTAACTGTTACTAGATTCCCTAAAACGGAAAAAAAGTTTTTTTTACTTTAAAAAGTACCTCAGCCCTTTTTAACTATGTAAATTAGTTAGAAAGTAGTTTATTTAACTACATTTTTCTCTCAATGTATTCTTATGCGTAAGTACTGCACCATAAGAAGTTACATTTTAAAACAAATGCAGCATTTCAGTGTGATAAATCAATTACGTCATTTAGCTATCGGAATCGTTAATAAGTAGAGAGAACGTTTGAATAAGTAATAAAAACAATAAACATGGTTTCTGAAACGAACATGTCTAAACATAACAGTTATTGCATTAATATTATTAGTGATGTCAAAAAAGAGTAGGAAAATAAGCATTATCTCTGCCGGCACACATGCAACGTGAGGAGCAATACAACTCCCACATATTGATAAAGAACTGGTCAGTCTTTGTCATTTGTTACCTGAATCATTGTTCAGCTGGAATAATATACCTTCATCAGGTGCAAAAGAAACCTCGCCAAATACGTATATGTACCCGTGATAATCCTTTTCGATCATAATTTCAGTTATATTATGTTAATGCGGTCTCAAAATTGCACGGAAAAATAGACAATTTGGACCTTCAGCAAAGAACTATATCGCCAATAAAGTTTTGCTTTCACTGTAAGAGTAATCGCACATATAACAAAAATGTTTGCAATTGTATCGAACCATAGATGTAACTATTGGAAAGCGCTCTTAAAAAACATGCTTGCTAAATTATTAAATGAATTGTTGCAACAGCCAAACAAATATTGTCCCGACTCGAATTAATGAGCGCTTACCATTTGTTGTTACTGGGAAAGAATGCTACAACTATAAATAGAATTTGTGTTGCCTCAGTGAAGTAATCGTTTCTTGTTATCAATTTAATAAGAATGTTTCTGGACAAGAATGTTGCTGACCTATTTCCAAGTGTTCGCGTTTATTGCGGAAAGTAAAATTTCTTGTTATTACTGTAAATTCTTTTACTGCGTGTCCTGAAATCAATTATTATGCACCGAATATGTAAATATTTTTCTCCGGTCCATTAAGATCTTTTCTCAGCTGAACGGCATGGCATGTGATCTCGAATATTATATGGAATATTCGTTGAATGTATCATAGAATATTCGAGAAACCTTATAACACGCCTTAGATCGACGTCGAGTCCGGTACGTCAACAGCGTTGACCTCCAAAAGGTCGCGGGCACGTCGTCGCTCGCCGCTTCAAGAGCCGCCTCGAAGACAACAGTCGACGGCTACCTGGTAAAAAAAGGCTTGAATAAAATAGGATCCAAGGCCTCACAGTTTCAACGTAAAAGTGATGATTTTTCTATTCTATTTAATACCTGACTTTTCTCTCAAAGTTCAATTCCTGCAACAGGAATATATTTTCTGCGAATCAATAATATTCTATTCCTCTTCTGTACTCTGATTTTTGTTCAATTCCGAAAAGAGGAATATACTTCTGCTTTGTTTAATTCCTTCTAGTCCGACAAAAAATATCGGTATTAAATTGTTTCGTATTGCGTTCAGAGGAATACATTATAGGAATGCCTGATTCCTTCCAGTTCATTTAAAAAATATGTGCATTTAATTGCCTTGAATCCTTTTTTTGGAATATAAATTTGTAACTTCTAAATTAAATCAATTCCACTTTATTAAATTATTTTATTAAGAAGTAAAATATCATTACATGCTCAAAAGGGTGGTTTCTCGAGGATAACCTCCCTTTTTACTCTCCTTAGAGAAGGGGTAGGATCATTGTATCATAAACGTAAGGAATAATAAGAGGTCTTATATGCAAACGAGCTGTCTGCATCGCCTGCGAGAAGTCTGGTCATCTGGTGGTTCTGACGAAACTGATGGTGCCAAACCATTATTTCCTCAATTACATGAGCAAGTTTAGAATAACCTTGCAATGTGTAAAATTTTACTGTAATTGTGGTTACAGCTACCAGATAAACCTTCTATCTTATTGTACTCATTATAACCTCTTCATATAGATAATATTACCATTTCAAATGTTGATCACTACTGCACCTTTCAAGCGCAGCGCCATGGACACAGTATCTATTGGCAAAGTTACGTTTATCATTCCATGTGGTCAATTTCAGCAATTGTGCGGTTTTATTTACCACAGTATTTTAACTATGTCCGTATACTGACATTACAGGGGTAACTGATTAATGCGTAAATTACAATGGCAATTTTATACGATTCTTTCCAATGGTACCTTCCCACTGAACCCCAAACCTAACAGTTACGTAACGTAAAACTAACAAATAACATAACGTTTGTTACAATGTAATAACATAACGTTTGTTACAATGTAATAACATAACGTTTGTTACAATGTAATAACCTAACAGTTACGTAGCATAGACCTAACTAGTTACATGACATTTGTTACAATGCAGTAACTTAACGGTTATGTAACATGGAGCTAACGGGTTACATAACATTTGTTACTATCATATCTACATAAATGTAGCATAACATTGTTACTCTCATCTTACATTATGTTATTGTTCTGGCATTACTGTGTATATGCAGCACATATTTGTAACAAAACGGAACTACATTGGTGCTGACTGTCATTTATTTTAATATATCATCGTCATCGTCATTGTCATAATTCATTGTCAAATGTCATAAGATTAATATGTCATATTTTGTTTACTACTCGTATGAAAAAATGTGACTTTAATTCGTACGCGCATATACATTATCAGTCATTGATTGCTAATCAAATGAAATCCTAATTGTCTTGAAATAAAATCAGATAGTTTATCATTACATAATTTCATTGAAAGTCTAGTTTGTCATTTAATATCTAACTATTGTCAAGTAGCAAAAAAAATTAAAAGTAACAAATTATATAATTTTGGATAAAATTGCGTGCTTTTTTATTAAATGTATGAAAAATGAATATTATTTTAAGGTCACTGAAATTATAACATTAATATAACATGTTACATAACATGTTACCTTACCGAGTGGGAAATAATAACTAACATCTAACTTCCATGTTACTTTTATGCTACATAACATGTTAGTTTCGAAAACGTAATATTTACCCAACAGTTATATGTACTTACTGAGTGGGAAATAATAACTAACATCTAACTTCCATGTTACTTTTATGCTACATAACATGTTAGTTTCGAAAACGTAACATTTACTCAACAGTTATATAACAGTGTTCACTGGGTTCTCTTCACTTTCACATGTAAAAAAATTGAATCTTTATGTTCATTTGAATATTACTTTTTAAAATGCATGGGGAGGAATCAGATTTATATTTGGAATTAAGGAGAATACAATACATTATGAAACCAATTTGAAATATTAGAATTCAACTACTTAATCTCTCGGCCCACACGGAACAAAAGTTCTATTATACGAATATAGAATGTTTTCATGGCTACGGGATGTTTCAGTAAATCAGAAGTTAAAAATATACGTATAATATATGTTCACGGAATGTCAAAAATATTCTATAGGATTTTAGATGTACATTATACGTATTAAATGTTACTAGAACATCAAAATTTGCACCAATTAAATACGTTTAGTAAACGTATAATACATCTCTAACAGACTCCTGTTTTTGCGATATTACACATGCAAAAGACATATAATGTACGCATGTTATGTGTATATTAAGGGAAGAAAAATTGACGTGACACGTACGTAAAACATACATATGTTTTACGTACGTATATATGCATTATTTTACTCACATGTTTGATATATGTATGTTATACGTTACTAGAGCATCCACATATTCACCAATTGAATACGTTTAATAAACGTATAATACATCTCTATTTAATAGACTCCTATATCTGCGATATTACACATGCAAAACACATTTAATAAACGTATGTTG